TGATCTACCACACATGTGGTAGAAGCTTGCACACTGTTCTAAACGTATGTTTTGAGCAAATTGATGTTTAAAGCTAGCAATATATCCCATGTCCATTTTCCAAAACTATAATAATAAACATGGCTTTTTTTCAGCAATTTGGTTCCTGTAATTAAGGAAATATTGTAGTTTTGGCATTTTTCGAAATTACCATTTTATGAGAGGGACCAGGTTATTGTTCGACTTTTGTATTTTCAATACCCTGCTGCCCTAGATAAAAAAACCCTCGTACAGAATTTGGTTGAGATATCTCAACTTTTGCTAGAGTTATCGTGTACGCAAATAAACGGACATGGACTAATCATCTTCTCTTTTTATTCTGAGCATTTTCATGTATATATACATACATAAGTAGTACATACGAACATAAATGTATGTATCCATATCGATTAATTTTGGTTGTTCCAAATACACGTTATGTGAAAAAAAGTTATTGTACCCTCTTGCAGAACTGCGTTGTAAATATGTTTAGGAAACATTTAAATTAATAGTTAATTAAAAAAAGTTGCTGAAAGTAATGGAACTCCTCAACCCCTTAAAAAAAAACCAGGAACCCTTCTGAAATTTTGTTTTGAAAGTTTTCAAATTTGAAAACTGAAAAAAATCACAGTATACAGCAAACCAGCCATTGACAATATGCTTATTTGAAAACTAATACATGAAATGTTGTGAATATATAGGATTTTTTTGTCATTAACCCATAGGCAACAACTGGTGCAAAAGTACCTACAAATGTTTGTTGATATATTTGAAATGTAAATTTGAACAGCAAAATTCGTAAAACAAATTATAATAAAAATATTTTTAATTACTATATGGGAGGTGGGCGTGGTTATTGGCAGATTTCGACAAAATTTAACACTAACCTAAATTATACCAAAGGCAACTTCGACACCGACTTTCGTTAAAATAACTAAATTTTGTTCGAGTTAGCGTGTTTACAAACAGAGAGGGCTGAACTAGTTCATCTCGTCATTCTGAATATTTTTATATAAATACATGCATATGTGTATATATGTACATATATTTTATACGGTTAACAAATGCGCTCGCTTATCTGCATAAACCGTCTTTACTTGCATTAATTCATGCATTATCCTCTTTCAAATGTGAATAATCGGCTGAACAAATATACACAAATTACGTGCATTTGAAAATTTGAAGGTTCTACCATAAGCTAAGTAATACTTCTTTTACCGCCTAATGGATGGGACCATTTTACAAAGTCCATTATTCACTCAAAGTTGTGTTCAGAACACGGTTTGACTTATGTTGGAACTTCATACGGTCATAGTTGCTAACTCTTCACGCTTCATTTGCTTGGAATTTCGTGTTTCTCGTTATTTTATTTTATGTGACTTGAAAATATTTTTCATTATAAGAAAATATTTAATTTGGATTTCATTTGGGTTAACGAAAACGACAACTGTGAAAAAATATCAACCAATACATTCAAACAAAATGTCAAATAAGCATGTTTACATTTTTTGTTTTGGCTACCTGGATCACTGTATACTTTGAAAAAAATATTTAGTACAAAAATAATTGTGATAAATCAATTTTGTATATTCTTCTGCGAAAAAATGTCTACAATCGATGATGTATATGTATACATATCAAGATGTGTCTGTTTTGCTCTACGGTTGCGATAAGTTGGTTTGGAATAATATTGCACGAGTCATTGGCTTTAGGTTAGTGGCAGAAAACTTCAATACATAAGTACATATACATTGAAATAAAATATTTGTTTTTGTTTCAATTCCAGATAATTTCAAACTTTAAAGTATAAAATATATCAACCCTGGGATCAAGCTATTGGTACTGAATGGTAAAAAAAGTGTGCATTCATTCTAAATATACAATCATGTGTGAGTGCGAATGCTGCTGAACATTCACATTCTATACTGAATGGCAATCTACCATTCAATAACAAAACATAGTTTGTTTGTTTTCAAATATTTTAAGAAGTTTTTATTTATACAAACCAACAATCAACATTTTGAAAGGAATGCCGAGTGAATGCAGACTATGTTGATTCAATAATTTTACAGCTCTGGCACTCGCCTGAATTCATTCCCGAGAAACTGCCAGCCGATAACAGCTTGTAATATTGCATAATGATTTACCACCTGGGGCCCTGTGCCAATTGATAGAAAATACAAAATTTTGACGGATCAAAGTAAAAATTTGACACTTCTCGTGGAGAATACGAACGTCAAAATTTTACCTAGCTCATGGGGCTAGGTAAAAATTTGACAGCTTATAACCCTGTATACACATAATATTGCTTGGCGGTAATAAGGAGTGAACATGAAAATGAAAGCTGAAATTATAAAATAAATATAAATTTTAAGAATTTCAGCAACACACAAAAATAAAGCTTTCGCACGAGCGTTTGTTTGGTTTTTCAACTGTCAAAATTTTACTCTGCATTTGGCACAGCAAAATTCAATTTATTTGTACACCATAGCAAATTTTTCCACCCCGTCTCACCACGGNCACACAAAAATAAAGCTTTCCCACGAGCGTTTGTTTGGTTTTTCAACTGTCAAAATTTTACTCTGCATTTGGCACAGCAAANGTAAATTTTTCGTGCTATAATAGATTTTAGCAAAATATAAACTGCTTAGATTTCAACAAAACTTTATTCAATAGTAAATTTCAAATATTTTAAACATATTTTGAATAGGAACTTATAACTTTTTTACCATCTGTAAAACTGACGAAGTGGCAACCATCTAAAGAAGGAGAAATCAGCTGACACGGAAAAATCTAAATTCCGCAGATTTCTGCGCTACGGGCTACAACTACAGAAAAATTCTGCGGTGTTGAGTTTTCATTNTGATTTATGCGCTACTACAACTGCAGAAAAATTCTGCGGTGTTGAGTTTTCATTTACATGGCGCNATGCGCTACTACAACTACAGAAAAATTCTGCGGTGTTGAGTTTTCATTTACATGGCGCTTTGGTAAGACAGATCGTGTCAGCTGACTCGGGTTTACGTACCGGTAGGTTTACGTTCTTGACTAAATTCAGCTTAATTCTGTCGGTTGGCCAACTTAGTGTCCGATAAATCGAAGCGTGTGTATGGCCTTTCATATTTGTATGATGACCAAAAGCTCTTGGGAATGAGCGAGAAGTATCGAGTATGTGCTTGTATTTACTCGTATAGTTTCATTTCTAGCTGTTTTCGTACGAAGGGGAATATCTAAGGTTTTATAGGGCGTATNATTCAGCTTAATTCTGTCGGTTGGCCAACTGAGTGTCCGATAAATCGAAGCGTGTGTATGGCCTTTCATATTTGTATAATGACCAAAAGCTCTTGGGAATGAGCGAGAAGTATCGAGTATGTGCTTGTATTTACTCGTATAGTTTCATATCTAGCTGTTTTCGTACGAAGGGGAATATCTAAGGTTTTATAGGGCGTATAATTTGTATCACTGGTTTTTTTAAATGTTGTCTTTGCTACAAGAAAAGAGGCCTTTGAAAAGATCTCGTTTGGGGCCACCGGATGTGTATCCTCAGGAAGCAAAGCAACGTGAAGATGAATTGACTCCGACTAATGTTAAACATGGATTTGCAACAACTCCACCTTTGGCAGATGAGTTTGGAACCGCTCATAATTCAAACATGAATGCCCATAAAGTTGGTTCTTTTTTTAATTCTGTTTTATCAAAGAAAGAAGAATTGATGACTTTACAAGATACCGTAAGAAAAAAGCAACAAATAAACTGTAAAGACAATTTCTGGCCAGTTTCCCCGCGGACAAAAGGCGCCTTAGATGCTTGGTTCAAAGATCTCGCTGGGAATAAGCCATTACTGAGTTTAGCAAAGAAAGCACCTTCATTTAATAAAAAAGAAGAAATTTTTATTATTCTTTGTGATAATCAAGTTAATATGCAACGTGCAGCTTGGTTTATTAAGTTAAGTGCAGCTTACACTGTTAGTTTCACTGAGTCAAAAAACAAAAAGCGAAGTATATATGACCCAGCCGTAGAGTGGACGAGTAATATAATAAAATTTATGAGGGAGCTTCTTCCCAAGCTTCATGAATATTTTCAACGTAAGAAATAATTCAATTTAATTTAAATCTATTTGTAATAACTAACTTACTTTCAGTTGGATTCGAAAAAAATGCACACACTTACAATAATACCGTCCATGGTGTCTCTTCAAGCCAAGTTGTTTCTTCTCCTGCTGTAAACAGTCCAGTAACGGCTCACAGTCCGCTAACCATGAGCTCAATATCCACAACCTCTTGCTCATCGTATATTGGGAATACTGCTTCAGGCAGCTCAGCTGGCACCACGTGTACCAGCTCTACTTCTCCTATATCCGGAATTGGAAGTAATTTTGAAGATTGTCGAAATGCCCTGAAGTATTGGAAATACTGCACCCGACTTTGCAAGTATATGCACGAAGAGTCATTACTTGATCGACAGGAGTTTCTTAACTGGATTCTAGAACTCATAGAAAAATTTCGTTCACAGTTATCTTTCGATATATCTTTAAAAAAGTTAATACTCGTATTTGCACTACAATACATTCCGGATTTTGTCCAATCAGAGCGTTTAAGCAGAAAATTAGCAATATTAGTATCAAAAAATGTAACGGCGTTATTGGAATTAAATGTTGAAACTCCTACAATGAGCAAGACAATTGAGTCCACCGGAGCGAATATGGAAGTTGATGCAGTAGAGGAAAACAAATTTTTGACGAATGCTGCACATGCATCTTTGAATGACTGCGTTAATTGCCCCCACCACCGCGATATTTTATTATATTTAAGCACGATTCTTCAAACAATAACCTTGGAATGTCCTACAGCATTGGTATGGAATGGAGTTAATGAAAGTCGAGCAGCATCTACAATATGGGGCAGCTCACTTGACCATATTCCTTTAGTTCCTTCCGAATTACCAATGCCATTTAAGTGTGAAAAATCTAATATCAACATAAGAAAACAGCTCCAAATGGCGGAGACAGAAATATCTCTACGCTCTAAACATGCCCAAAGGCGTTGGTTTGCTGAAAAATGGCGTAGTTCTAAAGTAAATTCATTTACCCATCTGCTGAATATCCTCGATCATATGGATACGCATTGTTTTGATCGTAGGGATAAAGACAATAATATAAATTCGCTGTACTCAAAAATTTTTCCACATAACGATGCAAGCAATAATTCTGAGGAAAAAATCAAAAGTATACCTTACAATCCTGCAAAAGACGCTTCAACTGTAAAAATACTTTGTGAATGGGCTGTATCCAACCAGAGGTACTTTATTTTATTATTAACCAAGCGAAAGGAAACTTATATATTTTATGTATTTTAGGTGGGGGGAGCATCGAGCCATAGCTGTTGCTATTTTATTGGATAAGCGACAAATTGAAGTTACTTCAAACATGGAAAATGATTATATCCATAATTCCAATTCTCTAGATGAAAAAGATTCAGTCAACTCAGGAGTAGGCTTAATTGGCGGCGTTCCAGTATTTCAATCGGTGTTGATGGATTTTTTGGACCGAGATGCTCCAGTTTTAGACGAAAATGGTTCAATCCAAAATCGTACACAATTTATAAATCTTGTGCATCTTTTCAGCACATTAATACGTTTCGACGTATTTTCGCATAATGCTTATATGCACACTTTGATTTCTAGGGGCGACCTTTTAAGAGAGTATCCCATTACTGAATTAGACAATGTGACCAAAAATGAGGCATCCCCAGTATGCGGGGCGGAGTCAGTTGATAACAAAGCATCGCCTTCTCACAATTTCGACGATGAGTTTACCACCGCCTTAGATTTTAAACACAGTGAATTCGATGACTCAAATGTTGATGATGATTTAGGAAAGTTACTACAAAATATCAAAGAAAAGGGCCAACAAAGTGCCCTGGAAACACCTGACAGTCCGAAATTACCCGACAATTCACAAATTGATTTGAACGAAACTCTTATTTCACGCCATTATATATATACCAAACATTTCCCTATACCTCAAGATGAAACTTGTGTATCTTATAGTAACGAGTGTAACCAACGGTATATTTTGCTGTTTGGTGTTGGCAAGGAAAGAGATGAAAAGAAACATGCTGTAAAAAAAATGTCAAAGGAAATCAGCAAACTTTTTTCTAAAAAGTTCAGCATTGACGTTGCAGAAGGGGGAAAAGTAAAAAAACATTCTCGAAATGAGTTTAATTTTGAGGCCACTACAAGTAAATGCAAGAGCATGGCTTATTTTGAACAGCATGTGGTTACATCTCAGTGTGCGGTTATTGTTTTAGAACAACTTAATGGTTTTGCTGCTGGAAATAACAACTACTTGCCGGTTCAGGAACATGTTGCTTTTCTGTTTGATCTAATGGAAATGGCTCTGAACATATATAGCTTGTTGGAATTTTGCGACCATATATTAAAAGAACTACCTGAAATTGAAAATCAATTACAATGTAAGAAATCCAATTTGGTTCGATTGTACACAACTTCCTTAGCTCTTTATATTGTTGGAATACTGCGTAGATACCATTCATGCCTCCTGCTAAGCACGGAAGAAACTGTAACAGTGTTTGAAGGTTTATGCAAAACCATAAAACATGTGAATAATCCTAAAGAATGCAGTTCTGCGGAACGGTGTATCCTCGCTTACCTGTCCGATATATATGAAATGTGCACTTTGCTTAAATCGAAGGATACTGAGCCAGAATTTTATTCGATAATTGCAGTTATGAAGACTTTTAAAGATATCTACAACTCTCCAGAACAATTAAGGTATTATTTTACGTTTTTTCCTTTTAAGTTACTATAATATTTTATATTTTTAGCGCGGTTCCGCAGGCATATAATACAAATTTTTTACAAGAGTTATTCATATCACCAAGACGGGGTGCAAAAATAGAATTCAATTGGATTCGCCAATTACAAGACTCAACATCCAACGTTTATAGCTTCGTTTCAAATGCTATTTTAGCTGTTTGTCAGGAAACTGATAATGATCGTTTAAATGAAATTGCCATTTTATGTGCTGAGTTAACAGCTGCATGCAACACTCTTTCAGAAGAATGGATAGCTGCACTCCAAAGCATTTGTAATGCTTCAAAGAATCTTCGATACCCTCATCTTTTCGAACAAGTTGATATATATGACAACAAAATTCATAATTCATTAGCAGTTTTCATTTGCATTTTGGTGGCGAGGCACTGCTTCTCCTTAGCTGATTTTGTGCTGAAGTTCGCTCTTCCTACTTTAGCGTATGCTTACCCAGTTGGCGGTGAATTTACCACTGATGCCGAGGCTGGAGCACGCCTTACCTGCCATTTAGTTTTAAAGTTATTTAAGACTATTGAAATACCACAGCCAAGAATGTACTCGGTCAGCACTTCGCCGAATCCAATAAACATGGTGGGTGCTGCATTCAGCATAAAGTTAAGTTGCGATCGTCACTTATTAGTCGGCGCACATAAAAATATTCCAATACAGGCTGTTTTAGCAGTAATTAAAGCGATACTAATTGTCGTTGATCTGAAAACGCCAACGGTACCTATTAGCACTGCTGTGGTATTAAATAGTGGAAAACGTAGCGGTGTTAATACACCAGTGCATCCAGGAAGTACACCAAAAACGAACGATCGTCCCGCAGATTTGAGTCAAATACTTGGTACAAGTGATTTATCAAATATCGGTACTGTCATTGATCAAGATATTAATCAACCGAATTCTGGGACTAGCAGCACCAAATCCTTAGAACAAATATCTTTGCTGGAATTTGCGAACCACGTCCTGAAACAAATTTGTTCACAAGAACACGTTTTAGAGCGCTGTTTGAAACATGCAGATAATTTATGTGAAATGATTATTGATGATATGCTTACAACAAAACAAGTCCAACGAGTGTTATACATGATATGCTATCCTGAAGCTGAATATAACATAATATCGGAAATGGATCAAAGATCGATGATTGTTCGGATCTTGGAAAACCTTGAACAGTGGACTCTTCGAATATCATGGTTAGATTTGGAACTAATGTATCGCCAATCAATGAACAATCCATCTGAACTGAACAATTGGTTAGATACAGTAGCTAAAGCAGCAATTGACGTTTTTCAGAGAGATAACGTATCAGTTGCACATGGACAAAAGGAAATGTGTCGCGAAAAGCAATCAACTTGGTTAATAGCTCCTCTAGTGTCCAAACTCACTCCAGCAGTTAAAGGTCGGGTCCTCCGCGTTGCTGGACGTGCACTTGAGAGCATGCATTTTTTTACAAAGCTTCCTAAAACAGAAAATAATTGTATGACCAATGGTGAAGAACGCGATAGAATTACTAGTATCGCAATAAACCAATCATATGGTGGATTAAACTCAACAAACTGGGTCAAAAAGTTGTCGTTAAACTATCAACCTTTCTTAGGATTTATTCTATCCTGTTTGAATGGTCAGGATGAATATAAAGAAAGTCTCTTGGTATCGCTATACTCACAGCTCTCACAATGCTTGCAGTCGTTCTCTGAGGTAAATTTTCATACATATATAAATACATTCATTTAGCTAGTAAGAGGTTGTCCAATGAGTTACGTTATCGTTTTATTTACGTTGCGCGCCAAGAAAATTACTTTCATCTCCTTGCAAGTTATTCACTTTCGACTTTCGAAAAAATATTGGTAAACTTCAGAGATTTTGACACAGTTGAAAGTGGTTTTTTGAATGGTTCTTATGTCTAGAAAACCAGCTAGCACTTTACCGATCATAATAACCTAAACTGAACTACGAATGTAACTAACAGCGTTTTATTTTCTTGATAAAAAAATTTCATTAATTCTTTATAAGGGCAAAATTACAACTCACGTAGTTGCCATCAAAGAAAAAAAATTATGCAGTTTTACCTTAAAAATAATAGATTGACGCCTACACGTATCGCACATCTAGGTCTTAAGAGAGCTAACTCAAAATTCAGATCTGGAAATGTAACTGCTTGTGGATCTTACAGATTCAACGCGATTAATCTAAAAACTGGTGTAACCGTAGTTTTTTAGTAAGTGTACATAACCATGAATAACCAATTTTTGCATCAATTGGAGATAATTCATATGAATTGATTTATGCAAAAAAATCGTCCTAAATTTTTTTTTGAATTCATCGCTTTTTAGATCTAGGTGTGCGATAAGTTAGTGTTTGGCCGAGCTTCTCCTCCAATTTGTGGCGTGCGTGGAGGGACCTACATTTTTACGCGGACTCCAAACGGCGATTGTATTTTTATGAGAAGCTGTTTTTCATAGCAGAAATACACTCGAAAGTTTGCCATTGCTAGCCAGGGGGCGATCGCTGTTAAGAAAAAACCTTAAACCAAGGCTCTGCGGAGTTGAAGCGCGGCTGCATTTTTAGACATAGATATATATTTACCGTGACCAGATTTCTGTGGCCGAAAATCTGGGCATTTCTGAAGCATCGAATCAGAACATACAGTTTTTATTTTAGAATAAAAAGGCTTAATACAATTTTATTTAAGTGTCATTCCATTGAAAAGACGAAAACCACATAAATTTAAATATATCTCTATTTCAGTAGTAACCTCTTTTTAAATTACTATATTTCATTAACCTGTAGGAAAATATTAAAAATCAAAAGAAGTTGTAATTTTTGTCTATGGAAATTTTTATTTCATGCATAATTACTTTACAGCAATCATAAGGAGATGCCCAACCAGTCACAACTTTAAATATTTTTTAATATTTTTATGAAGATTATATAAACCTCATTTTTATTGAAAACGAAAGCGTATAATTCATATTTTACAACGCAAATACATCGTTCGTGAAAATTAGTGTTTTGGCTAAAATTCATCTTTGAGTGCACCAAGGTAAAATAGAGTTCTTTTTCGTGTCCCACTAGTCACATCCATTGAAATGATAGTTACATAAATCTAAGAAATCGTTTGATATTTGGGTTAAAGCAATTTTATACATTAGTTATCGTTCTATATTAAAAAATATCTCTCGCTGTTGTATAAGTTCCGACGACATAGTTAAAATTCACAATTGATCACATCCTGGAGTAAAATGTCCTACTAGTCACAATGGTATGGCCCTTAAAACAAAACATAGAGAAAAAAATTGAAAAATGTTTATTATTTTTTTAGGAAAATATAAATTACTATCTCAAAAAGGCATTCAAATCAAAATTTAAAATTTGTAGACCATTTAAAAAAATTCGACGAATTTTAATAAATGTTCATGACAATTTAAAACATTTTAATCAGATTTTCTGGAATAGTTTTAAGTATGCAGTTTAGTAGCCCATTAATTTTTAGTACAAGAAGCTTTGACTTGCAATACATTTTTGGCAATTTTTTGTTCGCACATTTTCTTCCATACACAGTATAGAGGTATACGCCGCCGAGCCAAGCCGCCGTTTTTTGTCATTACTCACGCGCCGCCACCGAGCTACGAAAATATCGGCGCGGCGGCGGCGGCGTTCGGCGCCTAAGGAATTTTGTACAAAATTTTCATGAAATGCATCGCTTGAAGGAACTACTACTACAGAATATATAACACTTTTTTTCAATACCACAACAATATTCCTTTTTTACATATTACTACAACAACAAGAAAGTTGTCACACACCAAAAGACTTTAACGATAACATCTCAGAAAGCAGTTTTAACAGAAGTGCCCAAATTGATGTTCTTGTGTATTTTTTAATAAAGAGTTGAATATTTTTCAAACAGATTTTAAATAAGTAAGTTATTTTATTGCGGGGTCCCACAGACGTATACAAGTTCTAGGTGGCTGTGTGAAAACTATGTTAGCATTCACAAGTGGTGGGCAAACCCCAGAAAGGTTTTGCTCCATCGGATCGAAATTTTTCTACACAGGGTTAAAGTCCCCCCTTCTTGATGGAAATTAGTAGTATTTTTCATTACTTTCGGTTATCCTTAAGAAAATTTGGCACTTAATATTTTAGTGGAAATTTTAATCATTTATAAGTCATTTTTTAAACAGTGGGTCAAAAAGGCCTGTTCTGCTGGGAGTTGATGGGTAAAACTGTTGGAAAATAGTAGACTACCCTAGTTTTCTATCTATAACCCGCAAAAAATCGTAAGAACCCCATAATTTAACATAACGGTAGATAAGGTTATTTCTGAAATTTATTAATAGCGAAATAAATTACTCCAATAACTTCACTTATTATTTTTTTTATTTCTTTAAATTTAAATAGTACATACGGATTTATAGAGAACATAGAGAACCATAGTGAAGACTATTTGAATATTGTAAACAAATTACTCTTAAATCTATCAATACTTAAGTTAAAATCGATAACACTAGAATATGTATTGCACAATTCAATGCATCTAACAATTGGTTCATTTTGCATAATTCGTGGTATGCAGAGCACCAACCAATAGCCTTTTGTTTCTTAAATTATGCGGGGGATTATATAATATGAGCAAATTTGTTAAATAAGCGCAATTTATGTGCCCATTGATTATTTTATAAATAAATATAATGAGACCCAGCAATTTCCGTCTGCCAATATAGGGAGGAACATAACCTTGCCAGGGCAACTTGCAAATAGCGAATTTGGTGAAAATCTTTTGAACTCTCTATTTTGATCGAGTCCACTTCATAATATGGACTCCATATTATAGAACAGTATTCCGGACGGCTTCTTACTAAAGGATTTTAAAGTTACTGGATCTCTGAACTCTTGAGTATTGCGCCTAATAAAGGCTATTATTGAGAACGATTTAGATACAATATAGTCAACGTGTTTTGTAAACGCGAGTTTGGAGTCAAAAATAATGCCCAAATCTTTTATCTAATTTATAGTCAAAAGGTATATCACTACTAGACTGCCTCGAGAACGTAACTACACAACATCTACCTATATTTAGGTTTAAAAACCACCACTGCTAAAATTCATCTAGATCGAGCTAAAGACGATTACGATCTGAGAGATCACGCACAACTGAAAAAAGTTTAACAGCACCTGCAGACATCAGACAGTTTGCAAAATTAAAACAGTTAGGCAAGTCGTTTATAAATAGAATAAACAAGAGTGGTCCACAATGCGTGACCTGTGGTATGCCCGACCATGCATTAACTGTCACTTGAGATGTTGGCCCAATTTTCACAAGTACCTTTCTTTGCGTTAGATCCTCTTCTGTTCGCCCATCCATCAGCGCCAGGCACTCAAAATTTTAATTCAAGTAGGAAGTAACATTATTTAAATTTAAAACTAATTTAATAATGAAATAAGTGGAATTATAATGTGAATTGACAAGGCAAATGCCTAACGCTGACGAGATGACATGATCAACAACGTGAATAGACGTGCATTTGATTACTCTGCAATAACTTTTTATAAATCGAGATATTTCAAACTTATATTCATGTATAAACTCGGCTGATGGTTTTACGAGATAGTGACTCTATACCAGTAATGAAATATTTTTAAACAAGTGAAAAATATTGAATTCAAGAGTTGAACTCTAAATAATAATTTTTCTAATTCCACTTTCTTTTGCACAAAATAAACAAAACGGTAAACAAAAGCGCGGTGGCTGAGTGAATAATNCAAAGCGCGGTGGCTGAGTGAATGAATAATGGAAGAGTGTCACAAGTGCCGAAAAGGCATAAGAGATAAAACTGGATTGCACTGTGCGGGTGTGTGTGGTAGAGTCTATCACAAAACCAAAGCGTGTGCATCTATAGATGACTACTGTTTGCAAGGTTTAGTAAATTGCCCCTACTTGAGATTCATGTGTGATGACTGTGTTACATACATATCGAATGTTGATTATGCGCTCAAACAAATGATATCAATAGCGGAAAGCAACAAAATAAATATATGCGAACAGAAAACGGAATTCGAAAGCCTAATAAACAATCATAATAGGGAAATCAAGGAATTAGTAGCTAGCAATGAGAAAGAAATTAAGAGGGTAATGGAGACTTTAAAAAAAGGAGAAAGATGATTTAATTGAGAGGGTGGAAAACTTGTGCATTTTTAATAAAGATTACTTAGAGAAATTAGCTGAAGGTTTGTCTAAGCAAAGAGAGGAGATAATTAAAGAGGTGAAATAAGTTGGTGAACAAAACACAAACAATGGTAACAGCATTATATCGTATGCTAATGCTTTAAAAAGTGTCCCGCCTATTATTGTTAAGCCAAAATCAAAACAAAGTGTTGGCGTAACAAAAAAAGACCTAAATAAGATAGATGCCACTGACATGAAAATTAATAAGGTGATAGATAAATCCAATGGGTCAGTTGTTATTAGGGCAGACGACAATTCGGAAAAGGAAAAAATTAAAACAACCCTACAAAATAGATTAGATTCTCAAGTTTACGAAATCAGAGAATCTAAAGTTATTAACCCAAAAATTAGAGTCACCAATATGAGCGAAGAATACAACGATGTCGAAATAATTGCTAAAATAAAATCACAAAACGAATTTCTGAAAAATGCTTTTATAAAATGTGTGAAAGTTTTTAAACAAAGAAGAAATAATAGCTCGGTGTGCACCTTTAGCGCAATCATCGAAATTGAACATGAGAAATACTTGGAAGTGCTAAAACGGGAGAAGATTAACATCGGGTGGGATCAGTGTGGCGTATATGATGGGCTAAATGTTAAAAGATGTTTCAAATGTTTAGGGTACAATCACAACGCAAATACATGCACTAAGAAGTTAAGATGTGGTCTATGTTTGGGTGAACATAAATCTGATGAGTGTAGTACACAGGTAACAAATCCTGTCTGTGGAAATTGTGCGGATGCAAATAAAGATCTTNCCTTTAGCACCTTTAGCGCAATCATCGAAATTGAACATGAGAAATACTTGGAAGTGCTAAAACGGGAGAAGATTAACATCGGGTGGGATCAGTGTGGCGTATATGATGGGCTAAATGTTAAAAGATGTTTCAAATGTTTAGGGTACAATCACAACGCAAATACATGCACTAAGAAGTTAAGATGTGGTCTATGTTTGGGTGAACATAAATCTGATGAGTGTAGTACACAGGTAACAAATCCTGTCTGTGGAAATTGTGCGGATGCAAATAAAGATCTTGGTTTTAAGCTCGATACAGGTCATAGCATTTTCAGCAAGGAATGNACTCAGGGTACAATCACAACGCAAATACATGCACTAAGAAGTTAAGATGTGGTCTATGTTTGGGTGAACATAAATCTGATGAGTGTAGTACACAGGTAACAAATCCTGTCTGTGGAAATTGTGCGGATGCAAATAAAGATCTTGGTTTTAAGCTCGATACAGGTCATAGCATTTTCAGCAAGGAATGCCCTGTCTACCAAAGAAAACTGAAAATACAAAAACAGCGGGTGGGTTACTAGCAACCAAATCTAGCAAGTGTTATAAGTNGGGTTCGGAAATTCTCATTTATGATTATTCGTTTTCATCCTTTTACGAGATTTATCGCGATCGATAATATTCCAAGTCTATTTTTGCATTCTTTTATCGCGAGTGAAAAATGCAAACAAATTTATCATCTCTCACATTCGGAATGCGATCGACAAAAAAATTTTCGCTGCTTTTCATTCGCGATCGAAAAAAGCAAAGAAATTTCCTCTCACTCGAATATGAGAAGTCCGAGCATTGCCGATGTCGGCCTCTCATAAATAAGAAAAACGATGCAAAGAATCCATTCGCGATCACTCACAACAGCTTATCGCGATAAACTTTTCGCGAAAAATTTTCAACGACGTTGTATGGGAGATATTTTTCGCGTTTGTTTTGGGTATGCATTTTGTTATGCATACAGCGTACATACATATGTACATATGTATATGTAAGTAATGCAAGCAAATGCTTTTCGGTTGGAAGGAATTTGGGAATATGCACAAATATATGAATTATGGTGGAAAATATATATATATGTATCTACATATACATAAATTACGTACATGCATACGTGTAGTTAAA